GAAGAGCTCGTCACCGTTTTACAGACACGAGAAACACAGGCCTGCAGAGGGGATTTAAGGCATCCTCTCCTTAAAACTGTGCAGGTTCTACTCAGTCATAGTGAGGCCTCCCACAGCGTGTCTCTCTGGTAAGTGCCTCTGTATCCACAGATGCAGAATCAATTGGCAGGTCAGGCTGCTAATTAGCAGGTTTAGGAAGGCTGTGGGAGAAGAAAATTGGGCCTATTAGTAAGGTATTCTCTAGCTTCAGAAGAAACTTCCTGCTCTAACTGTCCTACTCAGCCAAGAGGTTTATTTTGTCTACAGTGCAATGGTAAATTTTCTTTTTTATATATTCAGTTGTTTCTTAACTTTGCATCTGTTCATCTCAATTCAGTAAAGTTCACTGACTACTGGGCACTATAGCAGTACTCAGGTTGCATACAGAATGTTTCCTAGAGATTTTAAACATTTCTTATTCCTACAAATAAGAGAAATGATAGTTTTGAACTTTATACTCTTATTAAATATACTAATGTTTTTCTGTCACCTTCAAAAAATAGAATTGCCATTGATGTAAGTTGCTTGTATATTTTGCAGAATTCAAAAAGGAGTTACAGAATACTTAGAATGAAATAAAATTCTACCTAAACACTTAATCTCAGTGAGAGTAATCTCACATTGCAGCAAAACACCTACCGGCTAAAATTATCTCACAGCTTATTTTCTGTTTACATATTAATGTTTTTTACTTTTACCCTCTGTCCTACCAGGTGTGTCATGTCTCTGTGTGTAGCATTCAGACTATTCATAAACTATATTTTTTCATGAACTCATCGCTAAGACGATGTCTTTTAATGCACTTAAGATGAATAGATAGATGTTAACTTGGCTACATTTCTTGTTACTAAGACATGAAGAATATGGTGAAGAAAAAAAAAATCAAGGTGTTTGTCAGAAATGCAGTCTTGACTTTTATTTCATTGATGAGTTGATTAGAACATCAGATTCTCCTGCAGGTCCATTTAGGGTTCCCTGTAATGACAATTTAGTATCTAAGCAGAAGCACCTTTTGTGCTTCCTGTTTATTTTAAATGATCACTACATTTTCCTGGTGATTTATTTTGAATACCAGTAATGTGAGTATTTTAGCTGAAGGTGGGAAACATGAGCTGAACTTGCCATCCATTTAATTACAAAAAAGAAAAAATTGTACCTGTTTCTCAGCTCTCTGGCTGCAATTCACTTGCCCAAATGCTCCCGGGGATTTTCTTGCTCATATTCCTGGAAAGCGTGCATTGTGGAGCAACTGTGCAAAGAGCTCCCAACATGAGTATGGTGCTGTTGTTTCCTTCGCTCACAAGCCACCCACTTCTCCCTAGTGCTCTATAGTTTCCCACCCAAAATTGTGCCACAAAGTACAGTGAACTTCACGTTTTCCCATCAGTTTCAGACGCACTTTCAGGACGCACAGTCTCATTTTCCAGATTGCCCAGCACTTGTATTAAATGCTGGAAATAAATCATGCTATTGTTTACATCAGTTCAGTGCTAAGTTATAGCAACAGTTACCATATAATTCACAAGACAAAACAAATTAATCCTTTTTTCCTTCACCCCGGAATCTATCCACCTACAGGGCCACAAGTGTGGGGTCTGCACCACACAAGTGTGGGGCCTGCAGAAGGTTATGGTAACTACAAGATGATACCGAGTTCAATGTAATTGTTTCCTTCTGCACCTAATAAAAGTTCTTAACTGTTCTCTTTCTCTTGAAAAGACCCCACCTGTCACTATCACCTCTAACAGCTGAGTGTTCAGATTTCTCCTGGAGAATTCTTATTCTATGTTTGGTTTGCTTGTTTTCTCATTTCCCCACTTAGCATTTACACTTCTTCTTCAGCATGGCCACTCTGCATGGGACTTACTTCCGAAATCCATGTTATATTTCCTGTACCTTCTGTCCTTATGTACAGAAAGTGAAGTGTCTCCGAAGGCAGTCTTTTCCAGTTTGGTAGGCCAGGCCAAGTTCCATCTCAGCATACTCACTCCTAAAAACCATGTCTGAGGAGGGTCTCCTAAATAATTCTGCTGAGAAAAGAGCTTTAATCCTGTCTCCTGATCTCTTAGACAAATGACGGTGAACTTTTCAGAGCTTTCAATGATGCAAACAGCCCACTATGACACACACATCGTAGATTTGCTGCCAGTGTCTTAGACCATGCTGTCTGAGACATGGTTAGTAAAGGTAATGGTAGAAGATCTCCTTGAGCTTATTTTTGTGAGGCATTTACTTTCACCAGGCTGCTATCTATTGTAAAGATCCATTAGCCCAGAAATTGCTATATATCTTTCTTTGTGGCACTTACTATATAATACTTAAATGCTTTAAACTATATATGTTTATTTGTAGGTTTGCTACAGCTGAATATGCTGCAACGTTTGGCTAGTAGGATGACTTGAGGACTACCTCCTGAAGTATCTCTAGGCGCGTCTTGAAGGAAGGTAAGTCAGTGTGTGTGATTACAAGAAATCCTTTCACTCTCCTTGAAGTATATTCTGCCAAAAGGAAACTAATTTTTTCCTGTTACTTCTGAGAAATTTTATTTCCAGGGAAAGAAGGTTTTCCAGTAGTTTAAAAACAGTGGTCCACTGAAGCCATGATTTCCTCAATATTATTGCACCCTCATGGCATCTGTACACTCTTCACTTTCATAAAATACTTAGGTTTGGGGCTGGGGATTTAGCTCAGCGGCAAAAGCGCCTGCCTGGCAAGCGCAAGGTCGTGAGTTCGGTTCCCGGTACCGGAGAAAAACAAAA